GATATGCACCCCAATAGACTTATTGGTCTAAAATCCTTAACATCAGCAGTTCCACCTTTCTTAGGAATGAGGGTAATAAAAGATGTGTTCAACGACTTTTCGAATCGCTCATGGGAATGGAAATCTTGAAAAGTGCCTATCACCTCGCTCCTAACCACATCCCAACTCTCCAACAAAAACCTCATGGTAAAGTCATCTGGACCCGGAGCTTTGTTACCATGCTCTTTAGCGCCTTCAACACTTCCTCCTTGGAAAAGGGAATGTCAAGCCTATTTTGTCCATCGCTGAAATTACATCAAAATGAAGACCACCAAGCCGAATTCTCCAATCATTAGTGTGACAACCTCTGTGGGCTGGTGTGATCCCACATCGCCTGGGAAAGGTGAAGTGTTATATGTAGGTTCTACACCTTACAACGCGTTTTAAAGCCATAATAGCCGTGCACCTACCAGAACTCTGGAGTTAAGCGTGCTTAACCTGGAGTAGTACTAGGAGGGGTGACCCTATGGGAAGTCTTTGGTCCGGGGGAGCCAAAAACGGACAATATTGTGTTCGAGGGTTGTTACAAATGGTATTAGAGCCTGAACCCGTTCGGAAGTGTGGCCAACGAGGATGTTGGGCCCTATGTAGGGGTGATTGTGACGACCTCTATGGGCGGGTGTGATGTGGGCGAGTACTGGTAGGCTACTGGGTGTCATGATCCCACATCTCTTGGGAAAGGTGAAGTGCTATATGTAGGTTTTACACTCTTGACACAACGCGTTTTAAAGCCGTGATGGCCGTTAACCTACCAGAACTCCGTAGTTAAGCGTGCTTAACCTGTAGTACCAAGATGGGTGACCCCCTGGGAAGTCTTTGGTCCGGGTGAGCCAAAAGCGGACAATATTGTGTCTGGATAGAGTGAGGGTTGTTATAATTAGACTCAGTGTATAGACTTTGATAAGCAAACCCCTTGCACACCTCCTCCGCCCTGTATCTTAGCCCCATCCACGCGGATCCACCTGATATGGTTTCCTCTCCTATGGGCATTTGCAAGCCTATGAAAAAACTTCTTCTTGCGGTCTCCTTCTTTGAGCCATAAAGTCCTGTCGCCTCAATCCATAGTAGCAATCTTAGCAATCTCCGCCTGACAATTTGCTCTTCTAATGCGCTAAGCCTCCATGATACCACCCGCCCCTTCTAACCGATCAATCTCTGCAATTTTAGGAAGAGCCCCGTTCTTCCTGCACTTTAAGTTCCCGAACACTTCCTTATTGCATCTTTTAAGCTCAGTCTTTAGAAGACGGAACTTCCCATCCAAAAAAAAGCTCGGGGTACCGATCATTATAGCCCCCTCCCACCAAGATCGAACTCTCTTGTGAAAATCCTCCACTCTAAGTCACATATGCTTGAATTTGAACGGGGTGTGTTGAGAACTCAATCCCCCACAATCCAAGACCAATGGGATGTGGTCAGAGGTCACCTTAGCCAAAGCCACCTGAACAACATCAGGGAATTTCTCCTCCCAATCACCAGAAATCAAGAATCTGTCTAGCCGGGAGAGAGTGGGTGACTCCCTACTGCTGAACCAAGTAATGGCCGCGACCTCCAACGGTAAGTCAATAAGATGATGGCCATCGATGAACTCCGAGAACTGCATCATAGCCAAAGACCATCTTCCACCTATAGATCTCTCTGTTGGGTGAAATGCATGTACAATATGCATTACACATGTAGATGCTTTTATAGTTACTTGAGAGAGAGATTAGTCCTTGGGAGGGTTGGCTCTTCTACTTATATTATTAAAAGATTGTCATTACAAATTATTCTACTACATAACTCTATTCTTGATGCTCCCCTCAAGATATGTTGTGGCATCTTTTTAGAATATTGATATTTCCTTAAAGTTTCATTTCATATCTGCTAATTGGTCTTTAGAGTTAACATAATCTGTAACGATCTTTTTTCTTCAGAGTTCCATTAAAAGATTATATTTTCAGTCTAATCACCGTTGGAGCCTAGATTTCTTAAGGGAATCCTGGGAAAAGCCTTAGGAGAATTTTGTAATAGGAAAATGTCTCAAAATGATATTGATCAAGTCTTGGTTACATCAGATATAAATGACTATTCCTTTTATACTAAAACTGTTAATGACACTTCATTTATCTAGACTAAATTTTAAGCTACCCACAGAGCATTAATAACAACTTCCACACCATGATTACTACTTAATAAACTTTCAATAGACACTTTTCAAAACACTGTTGACTATCACTGGGCATAGTAAGAAGCAGGATGTTGTCTCTCGATTGAGTGCAGAGGCAGCGTATAGGGCTATGGGTTTGTGAGTTGTTATGGCTGAAAACATTGATGACAGACTTTTGCCTTCCAGTGTCACTTCCATTCTCACTTTACTGTGACAACAAAGTCTGCCATTAGCATTGCAACAAACCCCGTTTAGCATGGCAAGACTAAGCATAAAGAGGTCGACTGGCACTTCATTTGAGAGAAGATCATATCCAATTAAATTTGCACTCCATTTGTTACTAGCTCTTAACAACATGGAGCCGTTCTTACTAAGGGCGTCAGCAAGACTGTGTTTGACTGTGCATTATCCAAGTTGGACATCTCTGATATCCACACAACAATTTGAGGGGTAGTGTTAGTTGAGATATGATAGCCTAGAGTCATGGGATGTGAATTATCATATTAGCCGAAATATGGTGGCCTAGAATTATAAAATTTTACTTTATTTACACATATGTCTAGTCATAGAATCTACAGTGATTTTATTGAGTTTCATTTTTTGTAATATTAACATGTGCTTTATTAGTATATAAATAGCAGAGCTGTGAATGAGTGTTAATTCTCATTCTAAGTCTTTACATGTTTCTTTTGTATTTCTTCCATCATGTACTTGTTTTCACACATATATGTGCCAGGCGATGTGGGACGTCACAATTCTATCACGACCTGCCGTGCTGTGTCGTTGTGTACATGTTGTTCGCTTTGCACATGGAGAGTGCTCATGATTTTTAAAATGTGTCTATACAATTAGGAGACATCAAAATATATAAGTACCAGGTGATGCAGGACGTCACAACCACCTTGTCTTGGGACTCAACTTCCTCATTGGCCTGATCCTCGTAGGCTTGTGCACGTCGCCCGTTTCTAACTGGGGATACGATTTGATACCATCTGCCACGACCCGTCATGCTGTGTAGATATTGCCTAGGAACAACTTTGAATACACGTACAATATCTAAGCGTCCTCTCAAACTCTAAGAAATACAAGAGAAATATGTAAAGGCTTGAATGAGAATAATCGCTCATTCACAACCCTGGTATTTATATACCAAAAGAGCGCATGTTAATATTACAAGAAAATAAACTAACAAAATCACTGCATATTTTATGCCTAGACACATGTAAATAAAGTCAAATTCTATGATTTTTGCCTGTCATATCTCGGCTAATATGGTAAGTCACATCCCATGATTCTAGGCTATTATATATCGGCTAATAGTCTTCAATGGTTGTTTCATTATTAGGAGGCATCCACACATATAAGTGTTAGGCGATGTGGTGTGTCACAATTTTGTCACGACTTGCCCCGTTATGGAGATACTGTCCTCTTTTCACCCCTTTCCGTGCTCGCAATTTTCAAAATGTGCATAGTTAGGAGGCATCCACACATATAAGTTCCAGGCGATGTGGGATGTCACAACCTGCCCCTCTTGGGACCCAACGTCCTCGCTGGCCTGACCCTTATAGGCTTGTGCATGCTCCGCTACTTCCAACTAGGGATTTGATCTGATACCAACTGCCATGATCTGTTCTGCTCTATAGATAGTCTAGGAACGACTTTGAAAACACACAATATCTAAGTATCCTCTCAAAGTCTCAAATCCAATGTGGTAAAAGCAAGAATCCTGAAAAGATTCAAGACGAAGCATCTCTAGAATTCATACAAAAGTCTCTCTAACATGTTCACATTGGCCTTGAGAAGACCCAAATCCTATGTATGATTATTTAGGAGTCTCATAACATTTTAGAAATATTATCGAACTCGAAAATTCATAGACTCTTCAAAGGATTGCTACTCTTCCCAGGGCGATCCTTCTACAAGGGGTTCTGATCCACTAAAAACATGTTTTTAACGATTAAATAACTTTAGAATGCCATATTAAATATGTCCTAGGACGTTTATGATTCTTTGAATTTATCTAAAGAGATACTCCCTCTGTCCAATATTAGTAGTCCCTCTTTCCTTTTTGGGATGTCCCAAGTTAGTTGTCCATTTCGAAAAGTCAAAGAAATATAAATGCTATCTTTCCATCATTACCCTTTAAGTTATCAAAAATCTTCCCACTTGGTAATATACATATTTTAACTTTAAAGGACAAGTTGGTAATTTTAAAAGGGATCGATGCATTAATTGCATGTCTCCTTAAAAACATGTAATACCCAAGATGGACAACTAATATGGGACGGAGGGAGAATTATCATGTGGTCCACTCTAGTGGATCTTACCTTTCCCATTATATGTGATTAAGTTGATCAAGACTGTTGATTAAACTCATCATGTCATCTTCTTTCATCTACTTTTTTTCACTTGTTATTTAACAAATAAGGCAGGAAAATCATCTTGATGTAAGATTAACCAACCGACATAATACATAAAATGATCTAAAAGTTACAACCATGCTTTGTACTCTGAAATTGCTTACACACAGTAGCTCAAGAAAATACCAATTACTTAATTTCCTAATAAAGACCTTTCCTCGATAACAAATTCTTTTCTTTGTTAAATTTTCAAACTTCTCACTGAATTTAGCTAATGATGGTGTGGAAAATGTTTAAACTTCAGGATGCGAATTATTGATAATCCACCCCCATGATATTTTGCTCTGTTTTTGGTTCCTTTTCTGTTTGGGCTTGCTATCGATTTTATTATGTTACTCTCAATATACGATTTGTTTAATATTGTATCATGCTCTCTGATATTCATTTGGTTACAGATTTCAGAATCATTGCTTCAGCGTGCACTTAAATGCCTGGTTGATGTTGTTAACTCTGAAACTGCTACATTGGCTTCTGTGGCAATGCAAGCACTGGGTCATATAGGATTGCATGTTCCCCTGCCTCCGCTTCTTGATGACTCTAGCTCTGGTGAAGTTGCTTTTTTATTTTTTTATTTTATAATTTCTTTTTCTTCTTCTTCTTGAATGCTTATGAATGCTTATGAATTGCTTGAGACATAAAGATCACTTTTTTTGCACCTAGTAATGATCGTAATCATCTATTTTCATACTGCAGTTTCCATTTTGACAGTCATGCAAGGAAAGTTGAGCAAGATATTTTCAGGTGATGATATTAAAGCAATCCAGAAAACTGCTATCTCTTTGGGGCATATGCTGGCAAAGGAATCATCCTCTTCAAATCTAAATATTGCCCTCGATTTGATTTTCAGTCTTTGCCGATCGAAGGTGGGTGGGAAATTCCACTGGGTCATTATTGTGGAAGGCTTTTGTCATCCTGAGTACAGTAAATTTTACCATGATGCATATAAACTTGATAAGCCCAATAGAACTAAAACATGCATTCTCTTTCAAACTTCTGGTATTGAGCAGGTCGAGGATATCCTCTTTGCTGCAGGGGAGGCTCTTTCATTTTTGTGGGGAGGTGTTCCTGTGACTCCTGATACAATTCTTAAAACTAACTATACTTCACTTTCCATGAGTTCAAACTTTCTTATGGGAGACATATCTGTTCCTTTGTCGAGATATAGCTCTGTAGAGTCCGAAGCTACTGAAGATTGCCATATAATGGTTAGAGATGTGATTACTAGAAAGCTTTTTGATGTTCTTTTGTATAGTAACAGAAAAGAGGAGCGTTGTGCTGGAACTGTTTGGCTTCTATCTCTAACAATGTACTGTGGTCATCACCCAGCCATACAACAACTGCTTCCAGAGATCCAGGTTTGTCTCCGCTTTTATACTGCATTCAAGAAAAAGACAGCTGCCTTGCTTTCTGGATGCAGTCTACATATTTTTAAGAGTTATACTGTTGTACTCCCCAAATATTATTTATTTTCCTTTTCTGTTTTCAATTTTTTTTTTTTTTTTTCATTTATTTACGGGTACGTTTAAGAACATATGGAAAATAATTATTTCTGGGATCCTAAATGTGACGGGGCTTGTAAACCTTAGTTCCTAATTTGGCTATACATTCCGGAAACACGAAGACTACATTGACTCTGATTTATATTTTAAAGTGTTAATAATATGTTGTTTTAAAAAGCATTGTTCCTTCAAGTATTTGCCAATCCATCTACGTATTTGAATATATATATATATGTATGTATGTATGTATGTATTAATTTCATTTGATTGGGTACATACATTTAATTTGTAATGTTTTGAAAAATCATTGCATGAGCTGGAAATTGCTCACTGTATGGCCAATAAACAGCTCAAAAAGATAAATAGGTAAAAATGTATTATAATTATCTGTAGTATCAATACACAATCACCTGATAAATAAATATGATCATATGTATGGTGTGTGCGTAATTGGGGTTGAGTTATCATCAAATGAAAGAATAAACAGGATGTAGATTAGGAGAGCAACCATCTTTTGGCTAAGATGGAACAAAAATCCATAGGAAAAGTTCACGAGTTCTGCAAAATGTGGAATGTTTGGATTGTTTAGTACACGACCACCATGACAATGTCAATAAAACCAATTGGCTATGACTATTTTCAATGAGCTTTTGATTCTTCTAGAGTTTTGGCATTTCATTCATTCTGGATTGACTAGCTATTTGTAATGAAAAAGAACTATCCATAAGACTCGCCCAGCTTACCCCAAGTTACCATGGGTTAGCCGAATCTTGTGATCACTGTGGTTGACGGTGGTGTGATTCCGGCGAGTATAGTGGTGGGTGGAGGATGGTCAGTGGGCGTTCAGAATCTCGTTATCTGAAGAAATTGCTCCGACCATGGTCCCGTTGTCTGGGACTTATTCCGTAATGGTGTTTTGGGACCAACGGTGGCGTCGGCTACTTCCCGACCGGTTCGCAGATCTGGTGGTGGAGGTAGATCTAAGTCGGAGCTCCAAAAGGTGGAGGTGCAGTACAGCCGGACTCAAGGTCAGGGACATGGGAGACGCCACGCGCCTCAGGCGAGTGGTAGTGGGAAGGAAACTCATGTGACACGTGGTTGGAGGAGGAACGATGTCCGTTGTGAGTGGAAGACAGCTGCTCCTCCACGTGCTGAGCCACGTGATCCTCGGCGTCTTTTGAATTTTAATTCTTTTGGGCCTGATGGGGTTGGGCCTTTTCAACGTGGGGCTCATGTTGAGGGCTTGAAAGGGGCTGGGAAGGAAAAAGCATGAGTGGGGCGGCCCTCAAAGCCCGCTAAGGGGGATGGACGCCTCAAGCTTTCTGAGCCTATTGTTAGTGCTGGACCAGCCCAGATTAAGCCAAGATTGGATAAGGAGAGGGTGGTTAAATGGGGCCCAAACAAAAGCCTTTCAATTTCATTTCAAGGTGGGCAGTCCAATTCCGGAATGAACCACAGCCATTCTTGTCAAGAATCTTATCTGGACACATCTTAGAGAAGCTTGGCATCACGTTCTTGGTCGAGGAGAGAAAAGGCGAATTGGGCGAAGGTGAGCTTGAGCATGACGAAGGGGGATGTGGTTTGTCCGAAGACTTTCCAGCATGGATCGTGTTGTCAGAACCGGCTCTCGGGTAACAGATTTGATCCTCTGCAGTCTGGGTCTTTGGGTGATGATGAAAATGGTGACTGTGAGTCCATGAAGGAGGAGGGTCTCTCTCGGAATCTTTTGAAGCAACCCAAAAAGAAATGGACCAAAAAGGACAAACAGAAGTGGGTTGCCCGTAAGGATTCTCAGTCGTGTCAGGTAAGTCTTCTTTTTCTCATGTCCGGAATGCTCCGTCAGCTTCTTTCTCTTCTTCTACTCCCTCTTGTGAGTTGTTGAGAAGCAAGGGGGAGGAGATTTTTGTTGGGAGGCAGCAGATGTTGTCGCCTGTTATAGAGGGTGACTCGGTGGATGTGATGAGCTCTACGGTTGGCTCTGATTTTGGGGATGTTGGGCCGTCAGAAAGGGATGGGACGGTTTGTTTGTCTGGTGACAGGGATTTCAATCGGTTTTGTGCCAGGTTTGCTGAGACATGCTTGGAGTTTTCTTCCACGTCTCGGTTTAATGATTCCTCAGGGGAGAAAATGGGCAGGTCGGCCAAGTTTCTTTTGAGTGGAACGGCAGGGCCTTGTTCTCCTCTAAAAGATGGTCCAGTGACTTGCTTGAAGGGCTCTGTGCCTGATTTGGTGACTGTTTGTGTGGGCAAAGATATCCGTATTTCCCTCAGCGATGAATCAACCTCTCTTTTGGTAAAGGAGTTGCAGAAGCACATATTTTCGCCTGATGATCAAACTGTTGACTGCAATCCGGACCCTTTCATCCGGGATGGTGTTTTGGATTATGGTGAGGACTGGTCTTCTCATGTTGAGGAGGCAGTGGTGGACAAGGGAGGTGAGGGAGATGGGAGTAGGTCTCTTGATCTGATGTTGTGGGAGGAGGAGGGTCATGCTAACTTGGGGGTGGTGGACCCATTGGCTATTGTTCTTCCAGAGGATTTGGGCAGTAAGGAGTGTAGACAGGAAGTTGAGGATACTGGAAAGGAATGGATCAAGGCCAATATTGGGGTCACTAGTGAACTTCTGGGTATCTCTTGCAAGGGCAATCGGGATCAGGCCTTAGCAATTCTTCAGGCCACGGCAGAGGGGAGAGACGGGGAGATGATACAATTTTCCAGAAGGAGGAGCCGGAAGAAGAAGAACCTGTCTCTGTGGAAAGGGGAAAGGGAGCTTAGGAATTTGGTTTCTGATGTGAATTATGATAGGGTGACTGAGGGGGTGAAGGAGAGGGGGAGTGTTAAGGGAGGAGGGAGGGGTAAGGGGGTGATGGGGGCGAGTGTTTCCTTACGAAGCTACGACTTTTATCTTGGAATGTCCGTGGCCTCAATGGTCTGGGCAAGCGAAAGGTGGTGAAGATGGTGGGGTGAGGAAATGGGGGGTGCATTTGGTGTGTCTTCAAGAAACAAAGATTGATTCTATGACTTATCGGATGGTGAAGAGTTTGTGGGGTAACCGGTTTGTTGAGTGGGAGGTGCTGGATTCTGTTGGGACTTCAGGCGGTGTTCTTATTATATGGGATAGAAGTTGGCTGGCTAAGGTGGATGTTTTTAGGGGGATTTTTTCTTTGTCTTGTGCCTTTGTGATGGAGGAGGATGGTTTCACTTGGGGCTTTTCTGGGGTGTATGGGCCAGTTGACGATGATGTGAGGGATGGTCTATGGGAGGAGTTGAGTGGGGTGAAGGGGAGGTGGTCTCTTCCTTGGTGCGTGGCAGGTGATTTTAATGTGGTTAGATCCTCGGCGGAGAGGTCTACAGGAGGTCCGTGGACTCAGGCTATGATGCACTTTTCTGACTTTATTGATGGTCATCAGCTTATTGATCTCCCTCTTGAGGGAGCTTCTTTCACTTGGTCCAGTGGAAGGGAAGCACCAACTTTATCTCGCCTTGATAGATTTTTGATTTCCGGTGACTGGGAAGAGAAGTTCCCGGATGTTGTTCAGGTTGTGTTGGCTAGGGTGACTTCGGATCACATTCCTTTGGTTTTAGATTGTGGAGGGTTGAGATCTCGTTGCACTCCTTTCAGATTTGAGAATATGTGGCTTTGTGCGGATAACTTTCAGGGTCTTGTGTACTCGTGGTGGGAGGAGAACCTGGTGGTGGGTACGTCGGGTTTTATTCTTGCAGGAAAGCTTCGTATTTTGAAAAATAATCTCAAAAGGTGGAATAAGGAGGTTTTTGGGAGCTTTGAGTGGAGAAAGAATAGGGCTTTGGCTAATATTGCCAAGATTGATAGACTTGAAGGGGAGGGTGTTCTTTCTAATTCCCAACGCAGTAGGAGAGCAGCTTGTCAGGCAGAATGTGTGGAAATTGCAGTTTTGGAGGAAATTTCGTGGCGTCAGAAATCTCGGGCCTTATGGCTCAAAGAGGGAGACCGGAATACCAAGTTTTTCCATAGAACCGCTAATGCTCATAGGAGGAATAATCACGTTGGGCGGATGTGCGTGGATGGTGCGGTTTTGACTACGGAGGAGGAGGTGCGTAGCAGTATTGTATCTTTCTACCAAAAGCTTTATTCTGAGCCTCTTCAATGGAGGCCACGTCTTGATGATCTTCACTTTGATTCTATTTTTGCATTGGAAAGAGATGGGTTGGAAAATCCTTTTTCGGAGGAAGAGGTGCTAAAGGCTCTTAGGAGCTGTAATGGTGATAAGGCTCCAGGCCCGGACGGCTTTACTATGAGATTTCTGTTGGAGAGTTGGGAGGTGGTCCGGTACGAGGTTATGGGCACTTTTTATGAATTTCATTCCACGGGGCGGTTTGAGAAATCACTGAACGCATCTTTTATTACCCTTATTCCTAAGAAGGGTGGTGCTTCTAACACTAAGGATTTTCGACCAATCAGTCTGATTGGGTGCATTTACAAGCTCATTGCAAAAGTCTTTGCACTTCGATTGAGGGAGGTTTTGGATGGAGTTATCTCTGAGTCTCAGAATGCTTTCATTGGCGGTAGACAGATCCTGGATTCTGCTCTTATTGCCAGTGAATGTGTGGATTCTAGATTGTGTAGTGGGGCTCCTGGTGTTCTTTGTAAGCTGGATATCAAGAAAGCCTATGATCATGTCTGCTGGAATTTCCTGTTTTACCTGTTGGAGACGATGGGCTTTGGTGAGCGATGGAGGAAATGGATTGTTTCATGTGTTTCCACTGTCAGTTTTTCGGTGTTGGTGAATGGGTCTCCTGCGGGGTTTTTCGGCAGTTCTTGTGGTCTGAGGCAGGGAGACCCTCTCTCCCCGTTCCTTTTTATCATTGTTATGGAGG